GGAACGAGGGAGATTGAGGAGGAGACTGAGGGGACGGAGATTGAGGGAGGAGACTGAGGGGAGGCAAAGGAGATTGAGGGGAGGGAGGGCGAGGGGACAAGAGAGAGAGGAGCGAGCGTGCTCTCGGGAGGCTCGGAGATGAAGGACACAGACGGGCGAGGGAGAGTTGAGGACACATGGCAATGTTCCATGGGGACCAGCTCAATGCTCATCAGGAGAACAGGTGGACTTCACAGCTGAAGAATGAGCCATCTGGCCTGTTTTTCCCACTGTAAAGACAGGAAGGCCGGACACGGTGGCTCACGCCTGAAATCCCAGCCCTTTGTGAGGCTGAGGCAGGTGGATCGCTTGAGCCCAGGAGTTCAAGACCAGCCTGGGTAACATAGCGAGACCCCGTTCTACAGAAAAAAAAAAAAAAAAAAAACGCCCTCCCTCCCCTCAGTCTCCCTCACCCTCTTTCCCCTCAATCTCTCTCCCCTCAATCTCCCTTGCCTTCCCTGCCCTCAATCTTCCTCAACCCCCCACCCTCAATCTCCCTCACCCTCTCTCCCCTCAGTCTCCCTCCCCCTCCCTCCCCTCAGTCTCCCTCCCCTCAGTCTCCCTCGCCCTCTCTCCCCTCAATCTCTCTTGCCCTCCGTCCCCCCAATCCCTCTCCCTCCCGCCACTATTTCCATTTCATCTCCCTATCTGAAATCAGTTTGCTTGTTTTCTTGCTTATGAATTTCCTTCCTTATTGAAGGCAAGTTCCACGAGAGCAGGGACCATGTCTGTCTCTCGCGTGTTTGCTACGATATTCCCCGTGTCTGATGACTCAGGTGCTCAGTGAATAGTTGGTGAGTGAACGGAGGATTCACAGTGAGCCAGGGGAGTGCGAGGAACAACCTCCCGGGTGGGGACAGCACATGTGGCGCGGTACGGTTTTGGGCCTCGGTGGCAGCTGTGCCCAGGCGGGAAGCACGTTCCCTCTGACTCTGTGTCCTGTGCCGCAGGCGGCTGGTGGAGCGGCTGGAGACCATGAGGCGGAACGTGATGGGGAATGGCCTGTCCCAGTGCCTGCTCTGTGGGGAGGTGCTGGGCTTCCTGGGCAGCTCGTCCGTGTTCTGCAAAGACTGCAGGAAGGTAAGACCCTGCTCTGGCCCATCCCAGCCTGGACCCGCCCTGGTGCTCTGTGGCTTTGCGTCCTGGCTCCCGGGACTGTGTGCGTCTGCGTTGGGCGTGTGGTGTCCTCTGCCTCTTGGCCAGAAGGACTAAGACTTAAAAATCAAATGGCCTGACGTCTAGGGCCAGCTCTGGGTCTCCTCACGTGGATGTACCTTCCAGCCCTTCTGCTAGAGTCACGCCCAGGCCATGAGACCCAGAGCTGGCGTTAGAAGTCAGGGTGCGAATCTAGCTCTTCTGCTAAGACCTCAGAAAACTCGTTTAGTATCTCACACCTGATGTTCCTCATCTGTAAAATGTGGTTATGATGCCATGCACCTCACCATGCTCAGAGGATTCAATATTCCTAAATGCAAAACTCTTCAAACCTTGCCTGGCACATAGGCACTCAGTAAGTGTTATCTCCAGAATATATTAAGTCAACAAGAAAAACATGTTTTCAGTTGTTATTAGATACATCCTATTTTCCTCAAGGCCACACAGTGTGCCAGGATGGCACTTTCCGTCCTACTGGCCTGCTTCTGTTGATCCCTGGTTACTCAAAGAAGAAGGATGTTTGCAGGGAGATCAAACTGATTTTCTCCTGATACTGAATTGTGCCACATATTAAATGGTTTCATATTGAATCTAGGACTTTTTAAATATAACTTTTCGTTTTTCCTGGAGTTTTGACTTGCCTTTTTCTTATTGCTGAGAGAATAATGTGCCTTCTAATCCTCAAGATTAGTTAACGTCTCGATTTTACAGTTACATGGAGGCTGTTTTTTTTTCCTGGCATAAACCCTTCTGGATTCTCACTCCTGCTCCTCCTAGGCTGGGAGCTGCACGGCTGTTATAATGGGGCTCCCTTTGCTGCCCTCCCAGGTTGGAAACACTGTTCTCAGGAGACCACGTCTTCCTCTTTTTGTGCTCACGTTAGTTTTTCTGGAACCATCCTCGATCACTTCCACGTGCTACTCAAGTTTTCTTTTGTTTTTGCTTTCTGGAGACGGAGTCTCGCTCTGTCGCCCAGGCTGGAGTGCACATGGCGCAATCTCGGCTCACTGCAACCTCCGCCTCCCGGGTTCAAGCAATTCTCCTGCCTAAGCCTCCCGAGTAGTTGGGATTACAGGTGCCCGCCACCACACCCGGCTAATTTTTGTATTTTAGTAGAGATGAGGTTTCGCCATGTTGACCAGGATGGTCTCGATCTCCTGACCTCAGGTGATCCGCCCGCCTCAGCCTCCCAAAGTGCTGGGATGACAGGCGTGAGCCACCGCGCCCGGCCTAGTCGTGGTTTTAGGACTTGAGTTACTATCCTGAAGAAGACGGAGAAGGAACTTTTTTGAGATTATATTGGGCAAGGGAACTAAAAAACAAGTAAGGATCAAATAAACAAGATGATTTCAGGAAATAATAAATCCTGGGAAGAAATAACAGAGGACGGAAGATGGAGGATGGAGGATGGGGTGGGGTGGGAAGTGCTGAGAGGACCGGGAAAGATAGAGAAGTGAAAATAAATGAACATGGACGTGGATCATGGAGGCCGTTGGCAACCTGGAGGGCATTTTCAGGAGCACTCAAAAGCGGGATGAGAAAACCAGAGGTGCAGTGAGGTTAATCTGCCCGGTAATAAGTAGGGAAGCCAGGATCACAGCTGTGGTCAATCTTTTCTCCTGTTCTGTCATATGCGGTAAACTGGGCTGAGGAATGTGGATTAACTGGTCCAAGAATACTGGAGGGATGATGGGGACGTAGGTGTCAGGCTTTGCTGGCTCCTTCTCAGCCCTGCGAAGGGCCTGGACTGCAGGACAGTGGAGGTGGGACGGGGAGTACAGGACAGTGGAGGTGGGACGGGGACCATAGGACAGTGGAGGTGGGACGGGGACCACAGGACAGTGGAGGTGGGACGGGGACTATGGGACAGTGGAGGTGGGACGGGGACCATAGGACAGTGGAGGTGGGACGGGGACCACAGGACAGTGGAGGTGGGACGGGGAGTACAGGTCAGTGGAGGTGGGACGGGGACTATAGGACAGTGGAGGTGGGACGGGGACCGCAGGACAGTGGAGGTGGGACGGGGACCGCAGGACAGTGGAGGTGGGACGGGGACTATAGGACAGTGGAGGTGGGACGGGGACTGCAGGTCAGTGGAGGTGGGACGGGGACTGCAGGACAGTGGAGGTGGGACGGGGACTATAGGACAGTGGAGGTGGGATGGGGACTATAGGACAGTGGAGGTGGGACGGGGACTGCAGGTCAGTGGAGGTGGGATGGGGACCATAGGACAGTGGAGGTGGGACGGGGACTATAGGACAGTGGAGGTGGGACGGGGACCGCAGGACAGTGGAGGTGGGACGGGGACCGCAGGACAGTGGAGGTGGGACGGGGAGTACAGGTCAGTGGAGGTGGGACGGGGAGTACAGGACAGTGGAGGTGGGACGGGGACCGCAGGACAGTGGAGGTGGGACGGGGACTATAGGACAGTGGAGGTGGGACGGGGACTGCAGGTCAGTGGAGGTGGGACGGGGACTGCAGGACAGTGGAGGTGGGACGGGGACTATAGGACAGTGGAGGTGGGATGGGGACTATAGGACAGTGGAGGTG